ATGATCATCGTATGATAAACCCTCTGATACCTAAGTGATGCAGTTGCAATCCTATAGAAAAGTAATTGAACTTATTCATCATCCTTGCCCTTGATTAAAGACCTTCAATTGGGCAGTGGGGTGACCTTCGAAGTCGATGAATGCTTGAACAAGCTTGAAGATGGCTTGACATTGTGGGGAATGGAAGGAGGCTGCATAATTTTGTTTGGAAGAGATGGTTGTTTTGTTGGATAGACTAATGGTGAAGGCTTAGCGCTGGAGCTGGAATAGGAAGAGGGAAAGATCCTTATAAGCTTGTAAGGAGAAAATTAGATGGAAGCTAAGAGGGGAAAAAGGAATGAAATGAAATTTAGAGTCCGAAAGAAACGGTAGGAGGAGATCGAACTAGTATGAGTAATAGAGGAGAAGGTAGGAGTAGATAGAGTTAGGAAGAGGGAGGGGGGATTGGCCAAAGAGATGGAGAAGGAATGATAGATGGAGAAGGGAAGGCATCAATGCATTAATTCATTCATCCATCATCATTATCCTTCTAAGGGAACCCCTTTATATTGAAAATGACCCTCTTACATGAAGAATAAAACTTATAAAGAAAATTAAAGAAAAATCATCATATTCTAACTTCTAAGTATGTAACATAAAGAAAATGCAGCAGAAGATATTCATGCATGATCAGTTCAAAGAAGGGTTGGCTAATAATGATCTTGCATCTGTTGTATTCAAAGTGTAACATGTAACGAAATCTTGCACATGTTCAATAGGTCCTTGACATTGGCTAGTGGTTGCCTATGCAGCTATGCTAAAAGTTAATATGCTCTATGCTTAGGCATTTTTTAATTAATTTTTTTAAGTAACATATCAACAAATGAGGATGTTTGCTTTAAGATGCATTACTTCTTTGCGGGTTTGTTAGAAATTTGTCATCTATTTGTGTTGGTTTGGCTTTTGGTTAATGCATTGTAGAAATGAAGTCCTTTTCTTCTGATTTGTGCTCACAATTTGGGTTGTTCTACTTTAAAGAAGCAGTAATTTCAATTTTTTTTTTAATTTATCCAAACAAAATCAGTTATTTTTCGTATTACTACATGTTTTAAACGCAACTTAATATTTTTGAAACATGCATGGTTTAATTCAAACTTTACTTTAAAATTCACCAGTTTTCAGCTATGGTTTGATGAATTAGCTACTGGCATTCATAAGTATGATTTCAGACTACTCCTTTAATGTTAAATAATGTAATGATACTTTTGCTTGCTGCTCATTTGCCACATTTTTTTTCTGGCTTATAACCTTCTATATCTTGGATTAGTTGAGTTTATTCTTTTAGTTTTTCTAGCCCATAGAAGTTGAAATGCTGTCCTGTAAACGTTGCGTTTCTTATGTTATTCTCATTTTTTTGCTGGTGTGCCGGGGAATGTTGCTGTCAAATTTAAGTGTCTGGGTAAGTCATCATGGGTGTTTGTGTTAGTTCATCTATTTTCAGCAGGACACGGTTCATGGGCAATTCCCTAATAGCATGTGTTCTTTTTGGGTTTTTATTTAGTGATTAGGTGATTATATTAGCATTGCGTTCCAAGTGTTAGGGAGGTGGGTGGCACACCGTTTATTTATATATGGAGTATTTAATGTGAAATGCCATTTAAGTAAAAAAAAATTGTGGATTTGATTTTGATCATTCATTTAGGGCCTATTTGGTTGGAAGTAAAATGGGTGTAAAGTATTTCAATTGTAGGGTTTTAAAAATATTGGCATTTGGTTTGATGAAAAAGGAATGCAAAATAAAATAAAGTAAATGTAGTGTAAACCATTTTAGTTCTTTTTTAAGGTAAGCTAAACTTGCTTAATTTTTAGCGAGAACTGTTTACACTGCAAGGAAGGTCACTTAACCACCGCCACATGCTGTCGCCCACCATCGGCGATGTGCCATCACTTGCCGACCGCCACCCACTATTGCTGGCCACCACAGTTGGCCGCTGCAACCACCCTCTATTTGCTACCACTACCGCCGCCACCCACCGCCACCGTAGGTCGCCACTGTTGCCACGTCACCGTAGGCCGCCACTTGCCGCAGGCCACCACCAACACCATCCGCCACTTACCGCAAGCCACCACCACTGTTGCCAGCTATTGCCGGTCGCTGCCACCCGCTGTCGGCCACCAGCTATCCGCCTGTAGCAGGTCACTACCCATTGCCGCTCGCCGCCTCCACCCACCGTCTGTCACAAACCAGCAGCACCACCACCCCCGGCCGTCACCGACCACCCATCGCCGATTTTTGTTGTTTCCATCTTTAGACTTTACACTACATTCAATTTACTTCAAACCAAACACAAGAAAAAAAAAATTATATGCATTTACTTTACACTCATCCAAACAACTCCAAAGTTTTTCTTTTTACACTATATTGCTTTTACGACACATTACTTTTACGATGCATTTCATTTTTAACCAACAAAACAACCCATTAGCTAATTTTTTGTCATACAATTGATAGGATAATAAGGGGACTCCTGATCACATGCACTTCTAGATTTTCTTTCTACTTATCAGACACATGGACGCTTGAACATGTTATGCGGGAGGATTATGAAATGAATGATATGATGATAAGACATCATGATGTTTTATGCTGTTTTTTCTTTCAATTTGTTTTAATATCGTTACATTGCAATTAATAGGCCCTTTCTTATTTATAGGAAAAGAAGAGTGTAATGAAGTTTAATGATGATTTGTATGTCTACAGAGCCGGGTTAGAATTTTTCGGGCCTATAGTTCTCTCTTCTTCTTAATCTCCCCGCTTAACCTTCTAACTACCACCTCTTCCCCCTTTCTTGCTCGTCTTCTCTATCCTATCCTCTCGTCTTAGCCATCCCAACGAGCTTACTAAGGAGTTCTTTGTCCATTAAAGTAAGGAGCACTTGACAATGGTGGCATATACTTATTCTTGTCATCTTCCTTTCCTGGAGCTTGGTATAGGCATAGGGGAATATATATAGCACATGAACGGTCTACCTCCTTCCAATGCATATTTGAAGTTTTCTATAGAATGTCTTTCTTTATTTTTGCTATTTTAAACAGATTATATTGCATCTCACCTTTTGGAAATCGATTGGAAGGATTGTGAGCAGAGTTTTATATAATTTGTGTCACTATAAATAGATTTCACTCGTCAATCTTATTTAAAATCTCCCTGACCTCGTTTTTATCACTTTCTTTGCAAGTTTACATTGTATTCTAAAATTTGTGGATCCTATAATCACAATTTTTTATCCATTTTCATATTTTTCATGTATATGCCTTTCTATCCTTATGCTTATAGCTACGTGTAACTTTGGTGGGTTGTGGCCCGTACCTTCTAGATTTTTTGTATTTGTGTGGAGTCTGTAATTTTATCCGTGCTCCCTTGAGTAACGTGCATTTGATTGACTCCTTGTTTGGCATAATTCACTAGGTATATTTTGGTTTATTTTGCCAATGGTTGAATCATCAATTGCAAACTTGCTTGCATACGAAATAATTAATAATTAAATTATATATGTGGTTCTGATCAAAATTTTACCTATTACTGCAGCAATATTGTCAAAATCTGGCAAAGTAGTATGGTTAAATAAACAAAGGGTTTTTGTTGAATAATTTAAAATTACATCATTTCAAGGAGAACTAATTAATTTATTAGTATATTTAAATTTTTGGGCGTTGCTTACAAATTTTGTTATCATGTTTATTTGTTTGCACCATTGTTACGTAATTCTTTAATCTCATAACATATGCAAATGTCCCTGGTAACAAGAGAAAGTAGAGATTTTGAGAATTGAAATCCAGATATGAATGCAATAACTAAATGTCTAAATTATGGCGCACATGTGATTGGTACTACCAGTCTAATAACATGCATAAGTAGAAGTTTTATTTTGTTTATTGCATGGTGAATATGACATTAAAATAATAGATAATACATCAGTGATAGATGAATTTGACCTATAAAAATATCCTTTTATTTAAGGGCGGATTATATTTTCTTTTACCACCAGCTGGAGCTATATATGCCATTGAAGCGCACATGCTTACGCAATTATGGCAGTTTTGATAGCGGGAGAAAAGGCATGAATGAATGAGCATTATGAGGAAATGCTTTTATTGATATTGAATTCAACTATTGTGCAGGATTTTCTGCTGGATAAGCCTTCTTAGATTTATTTATTTTGTTAATTTTACTCACCTATTTTATTTGTTGACATTGAAGTTCGTCAGGCCATTCTTAGCCTTATCCCTGTTATTTGCGATTATATAATGAATACTTATTCTTCTGTATTTCTGATTGAGTGTTGCATGAGGTGTTATATCTATATTGTGCAAATTTTTTTTTGCTTAACTTCTATTTATCACATTTTTTCTACCCTTCCTCCTTTCTAATATTTCCTCATTAATTTATCTATTTTATGGGTGCATTTTCTATCATTTTTTGTGCATGTCTAAACCACTTAAGTTTATTCCCCACTATATTATTATTTTTTCGATGCTACTCTTACTGTCCTTTTAATAAATCATTCCCTGCTCCATTCTTCTTTCCTAATTTTATGACGCATCCTTCTTATTGAATATTGTTGCACCAATATGTTTGTTCATTAAGGTCTGCACTTCTTTACAGGCATCACATGTTTCTTGTTTGTGCTGACACCCTTTTTTAAAATTTTATTTAATTCTCTTTTATCAGGATTTGCATTTCTGCATAAAAGCATATTTGGAACTTCACCTAATTGTCAATGGTCGACCATATTTTCATTAATTGCTTTTTTGGGGGCATTTAATCCTAAACATTTAACCCTATTTCAGATAAATGATCTTGCGTTTGAAGCACTTTCTCTTTTGCTATTTCTTTTTTAATGATTTGATGTTATGTTGGTAAGGGCTAGTTTTTTTAGGCTCTTTGTTCTATGCTTGGTTTATTTATCGGCATCTTCTATGTGGCTTACCTTATTATGACTGCTTCTTTTGTTCTCCAGACCTAATGAAACTGTTTTGAGTGGAGCAAGCCCACAAGATTTAAATCCAAATATTGGTCACCCAATGAATACATTTGCTATAGGAAATAGTACTGGTATGGTGGGGAAGGTAAACAATTCAGAAGCTGCTCCACCCCTTGCGGCAGATACAACCAATGTTTGTGAAGGCCTGCTTTTAGGAAGTTCTATTAGGAGTAGATATCCTGTTAATAGTGGTACAGTGTCCAGTCATTCACAGGGGGACATCTTTCTCTGTTCCTTGAGAGATTTTGTAGCTCAAAAAGGAGGCTGTCTGGGTGATGGCTGGCATGTAGAATTTAAACAATCTGCTAACAGTTCTGATTCATATGCAGTTTATTGTGCTCCTGATGGTAGGAGATTTGAGTCGGTGTTTGATGTTACTCGTTATCTTGGCTTAACCTTTAACGCCCAGTCTATAGAGATTGAAAAAAGGGATGCTGTTTCTGGATTAGTACAGAGATCATTGCCTTCTCGAAGAAGGAAAAGAGACTTTTCACAAATCTCAACTTTAGAAACTTCCTCTAAAAATCTGAAGAGCATTACTAGCAACTTTGATAGGGAGCATTCTTCTGATGCTGAGATTTTGCACCCTCAGTTCTCTTGTGTCAGGAATGTTTCAAGAGTTACTGATAATCCCCCTGAGGAAATGTGTGGCTCTATCTCTCAAAGTTCTCTGGTAGGTATCTTTCTTTTTATATTACTATGTTTTTTAATCATTATGGTTTCCTTTCATTTCTATCATGGTGATGTGCTGAAAGTTCCTATTTGGCATGTCGTACATTTCCAGGTTGCTCTTCCTGTTCAGTTTGAAGATTTCTTTATTAGCTGTTTTGGAAAAATTGATTTACGAATGGCTTATCATAACAACTGTCAGATTTGGCCTGTAGGATACAAATCTATTTGGCATGATAAAATTACTGGATCAGTTTTTGAGTCTGAGGTATTTGATGGTGGTGATTCTGGTCCTATATTCAGAGTAAAAAGAGTTCCTTGTTCATTATTTTCCATTCCAAGTGGGGCGACTACTATTTTACATAACACGGCTGCTGGAACTGATGCTACCGTAGGAATGGATGAAAGTTTGCTTTCTGATGCGGTTGACAGAGATGATGACATTATGATGCTCATCTGTGATCCTAGTCCTGCGGACAACAATTTGTTATCTTTGTTCAGTGGTGATGATGGTGAATCACCTTATGTTTGCTCTATTCAAATTGATACTCAAGAGTCCATTGTGTCAACTATCTCTTGTGATGGTTGTCATGTTGAAAGGCGTGGTGCTATTTCAAACAGGAACTCTAGCTTAATGGATAACATTGGGGAATTCTATGTTGAAGGAAGATCTTCTACTGCAGTATGGAAAATGGTTTCGGAAACTGTTCTAAATGCATGTCATGAAGTGTTCAGTAGGATAGGATGCGTGCGGTTTGGTTGCAAGCACGACTCCAGTGGTTTTCCATCTAAACCAAATAATGTTGCTGCCAAACAAGTTCATTCAAATGGCTCATTAGCTAGATTCTCATGTGCTTCTGGACCTCTGAATATTCCTCAACTAATTAAAAATGATACTGTACTAGAATCTACGTGCAAAGCTTTGTTAGAATGGTTGGATGGGGATAGATTTGGGTTGGACATGGGTTTTGTACAAGAAATGCTTGAAACGCTTCCTGGATCCCATGCTTGTTCTAGATACCTGTTTCTAAAGGATAGGAAAGATTCATTTATACCTTGGACAATTGGAGGTGGTCTGCTGGTAGCTGCACCAAAGAATGGAGAAAAGGGGGAGGAAATAGCATTAGATAGTTTACAGGAAGGGAGCAAAGGATCTGTCCTACCGGAATTTGATGAGTCTCAAGCATGTCACCGCAGGCTTCCATATGGGCGACCTTTGAGCAATAAGCTTCCTTGTGATCTTGTTGGGGATGTTTATCAGGTGTTTTCTTTAGTGATTAGAAACTTAGTTTAGTAAGGTTACCTTTATCATGTTCGTGTGGATCTTTAATCTGTTTCATTGAACTTCTCTGACTTCTTTATGTTTTTCTGTTTATGATAGATATGGGAATTCCTTTGTCGTTTTCATGAGATTTTGGGCCTCAAAGAGCATTTGGATTTTGATGAACTTGAAGATGAACTAGTTGATCCATGGCCTTGTGTTCCTAATAATTTATCTTCATCTGAAAAGCAGAGTCATGATTCTAGAGAAGGAATTTCTCAAGCAAATGGAAATGCCGTTGGATCATTTTATACACATGATTCGTGTGAGAGTTTTGATAGAGATAACACATTCACATTCATTCCTATTGAAAATTCAGCACTGAGGGAAGTCGACCAAGTGAAGCTGGCAGCTCGTACTTATGGGAGGTGCACAGGTCTAGCTCTGACAAAAATTCATACTTCACTACTAAAAGTGCTAATTGGCGAACTCTTGAATAAAGTTGCAGTTTACGTAGATCCAAATGCTGATGCTAGGGAATCAAAACCAAGACGTGGAAGAAAGAAGGATGTGGATAACAGTCACATAAAAGATGCAAAATTGGAGACACCAACTTTTAATGAGTTCACATGGCCAGAGTTAGCTCGTAGATATGTCTTAGCTGTCTCATTACTTAATGGCTGCACTGATTCATCAGAATCTTACAGCCGGGAAGGTGCAAAGGTGTTCCGCTGCTTGCAAGGTGATGGTGGTGTTCTTTGTGGTTCACTTTCTGGAATAGCTGCTATGGAAGCTGATGCACTGGTAAGAGAAAACAGTAATTTCTATTGCATATTTTGCTTTGCAGAACTTCATCCAACTAAAAGAAAAACTTCAACACTTTGATGATGATGGAGAGTTTTAATTTCCATTTGATCATCTTAATCGATTGCATTTTATTAAGACTTGCTTGGAGAATTTCATTATGAAGCAGATACGTTTTAACTTATAAATCAGGAAGTTGTTGACTTAAAATATTGAATCTTAATTTTCAGGTGCAGTGCAAGTTACTGTTCGTTTATGCTGATTTTATGAATGGCATCATTTATCATTCAAAATAACGATAAAAGGGCATCATCTGTAGCAACTCTAGCATTTTTAACGTCTTCTTATTTCTCTTTAATATTGCATATCTGAGTGACATGGAACTTTATAGTAGAACTTTTTGAAGTTTATTTATGTGTAACCATTAATGATATGCATACTGAGATCATACTGCTTATATTGGGCAATGACTTTGATAGGAAACACTTGTATTTGATAGGAAACACTTGTAGATCTTCTGAAAAATAGCGAGAATAGTGACTGGACTGCTGTCCACAGCAGGAAAACACAGCAAAAAGCAGTTTAACAGCAGTATTTCAGAGGAAATTTGAAAGAAAACTCAAAACAAGATTTGTATTCCACTAGACGATGAATAAAATACCAAGATACAATTGATCCTCAATTCGAGAGGAGGATCGATCTCTCCCAAATCTCTAGACGCCACTAGAGCCCTAAGAAAACCTAAATCTAAGAGATCTCAAATTTCAGCCAAATTCAAGATACCCAAACCCTAGAAAAATAAACTATTTAATGCATACAAATCAAAAGGAATTCCCTAAATAGTCCCTACAATCAATTTCCCTCCTAAACTTCCTCAAAATTCCTTCCTAAAACAGTCCCGCAAGGCGAGCGGCTCGTGCGGCCTCCGCCTAGGCGGAAACTTCCGCCATTTCGTGTCTGGGCCGGTCCCGCGTGGACCGGCTGGACTGGTCTAACAGACTTCTCCGATTGTTATTATTATTATTTTTTTATGTAGGTGGAATTTCTCTCAGTTCACCATAATTTAATTATTATACTGATCCGAGTTATTCACAAGTAACGCATATCTCATGCTTCCAAAGAATTTATATACGTAAAAATTTGTTTTTTGTGTTACCGTCACATTATTGATATCTAGAAAGTTCCCTTTTATTAGATATGTTGTCAGCTTGTCATCCATTATTACATATTGTCGTGACGCTCCTTCTTGTGTTGTCTTGCGCCTGCTTGCCCTAGCCTCCTTCAACTTTGTTACTTCTCTAGGGTCACAATTTTGTGGAGAAGTCTTCTTGTAGGCAGGAATTTGTTTGTCCGTAGCAACCTTATTTTCTTGTTGTTCTCTAGGTGATTATATTAATTGAGTAGCATATCTGAATAATGTTGTAAATTCAGCTTCATATTGTATAACTGATCTATCTCCCTGCACCAGTCTCATAAATTTATCCAGCATATGCTTCCTTGCAGAAAGCGGCACGATCTAATCTCTGAACATTTGTATAAAATCATCCCACTTAATTTGCATATAAAAAAATTCCTCTAGTTTTGTTTTGATGCTGACATCTCCACCATCTTTTTGCTTCTCCATCAAGTGCAAAGTTTGCCAAGAAAAATTTTCTGTCCCTTGGACAAAACATTCATTCTAAAATCTTTTTAATTCTTTTATAACCATTTTTCAACTTCAATTGGTCTCTTAATTCTCTTAAATAATGGATGTCTCATATCTTGAAACAGTTTTAGATACTTATCCATAGTCATTCCACCACCATTGCTACTTCCTGATGGTTGATTCATTGAATCTTGAATAAACTGAATCATAGATGTCATCATTTGTGTAAGTGCATCAGGGTTAACATTAACATTAAGCACTGACCTTTACTCTACTTCCTCCTTTCCTCCACTTCCTCCTCTTCTCCAGAACCATTTTGGTTATTGTTTACAATAAGACAATTTATTTGCATTAAATCTTTAAATCATTAATAGTCATCCTAATAACTCTTCAAGTATGTTTCATATCCTAATTGGACTCTGATAACACTTTTGCCACGACCTAGCCCAGATGCTCGAATTAACGAGGTAGGAACTAAAAGTCGGATGGTATAATAATTCAATATAATTCATACACAACACAACATACAATTTTTTCATTTTTTCTGAAAAGCCACTATATACACAGTCCAAAAATTCTATTCATTTTTCATTTTAAAAGAAAACTAAAATTTACATCAGATGATTTACCTGTTTTCATTATTGCGTCGCCTTTTATTGACAAACTATTCCCTTTCAGCCATTAATAATTTTGAAGATTTACCTGAAAAATCAAATTCGTGAGTTAAAGTAAACTCAGTGGATATTTTTTACATGTAAATGTTAAAAAATAATTTAACATGGATAAGTACAATACATATAATCTTTGATATATGTCTATTAATTTAACATTTACTAAATATTTTCTTTCTTTGGAATGTATATCATATTACATCATGTATAATGTATTCCTTTTCCATTTTAACATGTATTCCTTTTCCAAATTTTCATCAGTACAATAGCACCGTTTAAATGTATCAAAGGTACAACTATTTTCATTACCTTTTCTATTTCCATTTAACATGCACGGGTACGTTGCTTCCCCAGCTAGTACCATACGGGGGTGAACTCTTGTAATTTGCAATACATTTTTCTTATTATATTCACATATGTTTTATTTCCATACGTATATAACTTTTGTCTTTTCTTTTCTTTTCCATATTTTATTTTCCATTTAATCATTATTTATTGCATATATATATATATAACCTTTCACTTTAATGAAACTTTCAAATATTTATAACAAATACAATTGATTAGAAAACTATATAATCATAAGATATTTATACCTTCAACATTTGTAATTTATGCAAATAATCAAATATTTAGAAGACTGTATGCATAAAATAAAATCTTGAAATAACATAATTTACATACTTTATTCTCTTCTTCCAATATTCATCCTTTAATTGTTCACAAATATAATGATTTAATTAAATATTAAATCTCAATTTGAATGACTCAACAAATATTTGATTTCTTACATACCTCACCACAAATTTTCTTTCTTGTTGAATCCTTGAAGAATCCAACTCCTTTAACTTGATCTCTTTCTCTTCTAGATTTCTAAAATTAAACAATATAAATTTTCATGGAATGCGATTTAATAACAAATTTAATATAAAAGGATTTTTTTTACTTACAAAAAAGTGATTTTCCAAATCCCAAAATCTTTCTCTTACTCTCTCAAAATCTCTTCCCCTTGCTTTAAAATTTCTTTATCTTCCTTAAATAAAACATCACTTGCTTTAGATGAAGTAAAATGATGAAATTTATACAAAAATGGAAAGAAATTTTTTAACAAACCTTCTTCCATCTTTCCCTCGGTCGTTCCTCTTGTTTCTTCTTAATATCCACTTTTTTAGCAATAGGAATGAAGTGGATTTGATGATTCTTATCCCCAAATGCGATTGATTGCTAAAAAAAACGAAAGGAAAACTCCCAATCCTCCCACGCAAGCGTTGTGCAGTTCCAGACTTCCACCCTCTATTCACGAACGTCTCTTCTGTTTCGCGAAAGGCTTCGACCCCTTTCTTTTAATAGGTCTGAACCGGCTGAACCGAATAAGATATTATAGAATTAATAACCAAGGAGCTAGAGTTAGGCACTATTGCGAATTTAAAAGAATAAGAAGATGAAGTGATACCTACAAGAGGCTAGTACCTATTGGTGGAGTCATTTCTAGTGATGCTATGGTTTTCAACCTTTTTATTTCTTTTGTGCGACTCAATTAGTATTTTTTGTGTTACCTTTTTCACATGCATTATATATATGCATATCTTTGTTATTTTGTTTGATCTCCTTGTATTGTCCTGTTTTTGCCTGATGTTTTGTCATGAATCTTATAACATTTTTATTTTGAGGAAGGAGTTATGCTTTGCGAGGAGTCGCCCGATTTCATTCCTGCACTCAATCCTTCGTTCAGAAATGGGAGCCACTCTAACGTTCGGCCCGTTCTAGTCGCGCGTCCTGTCCGTCTGTCTCTTCCAGTTGAGTTGCAGTTATATTAAGGTTGGCTGGTTCAATTGAACCGGCAAATTAAACCGATTCTTACAACCATCATAAAATTTATCGAATAATCATGACATGAATCCTTCAATACATTATGATAATGATAGGTCGTTCCTTGAAAGCTTGACACTATATGGCCTGAATATTGCGATAAGTGTCAAGGGTCGCTGCATTGGCGCTCGAGTGTAGTGTTAAATAGGCAAGGGTTTCCCCATCATGGATGTATGCGGGCAAAGAAGCTAGTTCAGGAAACTAGAGCTCGGATAGGATCTTGGAATGTAGGTTCTTTTAAAGGAAAATTAATGAAATTAATTGATATTATGATTCATAGGAATAAATATTTTATGCATTCAGGAAACTAAATGAGTTAGAGAGAAGGCTAAGGAGATTGATAGTTTAGGATTTAAACTTTGATATTCATATAGAAGTCATACTAGGAATGGTGTATGCGTGATTATAGATAAGAGTTTGAAGGATAATGTCATAAAAAATGATAGAATTGGAGACAAATTATATGTTTAAAGATTATTGTTGATGCTAAGATTATTAATATTATAAGTGTTTATGCTTCTTAAGTTGGTTTTAGATGTGTTTAAATTAAAATTTTGGAATAATTTAGAATAATTAATTAAAAAAATGCATCTTTAACAAAGAGTTTCTATTGGAGGAGATTTAAATGAACTTATTGGTAGAAAGGTAGAGGATTTTAAAAGTATTCATAGTGGTTATGGATTTGGAGCAATTGATGAAGGTGATAAGACTATGTTAGATTTAACTCTAGCTTATGATTTTGTAATTGTTAATACTTTATTTAAGAAAAGAGATGAACATCTCATTAATTTTATAGAATGGATATAATAAATTCA